ACTACCTGCTCTAATCTCTCTGCCTCTGACTAAAAGCCAGCAAGCACAGCAAAGGTCCAAAGACAGGGTGATGAACGACAGTCAAATCAACACACACACACACACACACACACACACACACACACTATCGAGGCACAACTATATCACACAATATTTGGAGGGCATGTTAACGAACTGGAAAAGGGCGAATGGCTTAATACACATTTGGCCAAAATATGAACAACTTAAAAGACTATGATCATTGCAATCATATGGATTTGGAACACATATGATTACAAAACAAGCATTCGCTAATAGTTATTTTCAAAGTGGAAGAACATCATATCTAGTGATGTCAGGAATATAACTTAAGGTGTTGCAGTTTGAAAACACGACATTCAAGACGTCCGTCATCACTTCATTATTAGCATTAAATACATTTATCGTGGTAAAAAGAGTTATATTAGGGTTACAGTGACCTTGACCTTTCTAATCAGTTCATCCTTAAGTCCATGTTGACGTTTGTGCCAACATTGAGGTGTTTCTGAGCTGAATTGGAGGCATAAAGACAGAACACTAAATCAGTCCCGGTGTTTAAGACTGAAAGACATGGGGAAAGATGCCACAACTGAAAATCCAAATCACCCAAACACATTTACATTTCTTAACATTTGAGTCATTTGCATGGAAAGAACAGTTGATGTTTTGCACAGCAGATGGCTTTATATCCACACACCACACTGCCAATGGCTACTTGCAAAAAGTGAAATGGTTTAATGGTGAGAACACACATTTGAAGAATGGGACAATTCATTTTATGGTTTCCTGTAATCTTCTACTGCAGAATCATGAAACAAAAACACACTTGAAATAGAACACTGTAGTATTCATCAGATATCCACGCAAACAAGAGGCTTTGATTTCTGACGCACAGCTTGAATAAAGCCCCGTAAAGCCATCCTACAGCTTCCACCTCCCACCTCCACAGAAAACAAATCGCCGTGGACAATCTGCTCTCCGTTCTCTGCGCTGACGAGCTGTTTCTGACGCCAGATGTCTCCGAATAATGGCCCTTTCTTTGTGTACCTGTTATCATTTTTAAATAAAGCTGCAATCTAAAGGGCTGCTGCATCCTCTTCTCTGAGTGCTCTGTGATTACAGATATGACGGCGCTGTGGCTCCATAAGTATGGCAGTAATGTGAATAATGAACACCCTGAAGATGGCTTTCATACAAGAACGACAACTGGTCTGCTGCTTGAAGAGTTTTCTAAAGCACAGGGGGCGATCACAAGAATAAAACCAGAGCAAATCACATAAACGTTCTGGTTTCTGTGAGGTTTTAGTGACTGTTAAGACAGCAGGAATAACTGTAATTTAGACTGGTTTGCCTCCACACACTGTCTGATGCAAATACTCTTAGTTTTAGTCTCACATAAATATGTCTTTGATGGTACTGCACACCTCTCTAGATGAGAGCATCTGCTAAATGTCTGAATGTAAATACAGTTAAATGATGGCTTGTGTTAACACCAATGTGACCAAACTCTCTGTGTGACAGTGACTCTAAAGTTCAGTATTTAGAGAGACAAGCTGCTTCATGTGAAAGGATGCCGTCATGTGCACCCTGTTTCATTCAATTATGAACAGGAGAGAAGTCAGAGCTGCATGTGCTTTTGACAGAACAAAAGTTTATCTGAGCGGCAACAACAACAACAAATGGCTTCTACTTTTAGACAAGGAGACAGGGGTGAAAGGTTCACCATGCAAAGCATGAACAGGTCATTTTGATGCTGCAAAGAAGGGAAGAAACCACACAAGACACCATGCTGTTTTTTAGTTTTAGTTTTAATGGAATGTATCTTTTCGAGGTATGAAAATAGATATCACGTTGAAATAAGAAATAGGGCAGGGGCTACAAAGGGCACAGCTAATAACTGTGTGTGTGTAAAGATGGCAACACCAAGGCATGTCAGAGAAGCTTCAGACCGGTCACATTAGATAAAGGGCTCAGATATATTTCTGTGTGGGAGTTGACAGCAACACAGAGGCATGTGTTGCTTTGACTGTGATAGAGCATTGGGAACAATTCCAGCAAAAGGGAAACAACATAATTCCTGACGATAGCGTCACCGCTCGACAAAAACAATGAAGAAGGCCGTTATCACGTTCCTGTAAATATTTCCCTGTATAAAACCACTGCTGTTTCACAAAAATCACATTATTTAGTCTGTTAATTTTCTCCTCAAGAGCTGTAATGTCCATGTGTAATGTATGTTTCAGATTCCAGATGTTTCTTGAACATTTCTCAAAGCTTTGTTGTGGTCAATGTCTGATTTCACTTAATTTAGCTTGTTGGCAGGAAGCTTAAATTGTTAGCAGGAAGCGTAAATTGCAAACTCAAACATACAAAAATGGCCACAGCACATGTGATATTGGAAAGTCATCCGTTAGACAAGGAGCTACAAACATGTTTATTTCCTATACGTAACTTTCAAGCCCTTGTTACACAATATTGCCAAGGAAAATAACAAAATATCCTACAGCTTTCCAACCATGTTTTTCCACAATGTAAGACACAGAACCTTGCAGCAGCACTACTTTGACTCATGTGATTTCACCAACAGCCTCAAAACTAAGGTTCTGGCATTATAGCCTGCAGGACTGTAAGCCACTTGACACAGATGAACAAATCACAAAAACTCTGAAATGACTCTTTTACAGCCTCTCGGTCCAATAAACATTGAGAGTGACTTCCTGCACACATGAGTGGCACAAGAACAATTCAGTCTGCTCGGCAAAGCACTGCAGTGTTTGTTCAACAGCCAGAAAAACATTCGCTTATTTTGCCTGCAGCAATTTAACCTTCTGGTAGTCTCACTGCATTTTGTGTTATAGTCACGAAATTAATTCAATCTATTGATTCGTGTTCACCAACCCGATTTTGCATTTTTTTCGTGTCACACAGAACGATTTTAAAAGCAATGTATTTCTATTGGTAGTATGTTTCGTGCCTGCACCACGTATTTTTGAATTATATAATGTCAGATTGCTGAAATCTGTATTTGTTTTCCCTTCTAATTTGTTATTATTTGGTGCAGGCACGAAACATACTACCAATAGAAATACATTGCTTCTAAAATCGTTCTGTGTCCGAATACTGAAATCTGTATTTTTTTTTATCTCTTTTTCCTTCAAATTAGTTATTATTTACATTGCTTTTAAAATCGTTCTGTGTGACAAGAAAAAAATGTGAAAATCGTGTTGGTGAACACGAATCAATAGATTCATATTGTGACTATAACACAAAATGCCGTGAGACTGTGTTGTCTGGTAATGAATGGAGCATAAACAACCGTGGCCCAGCTCTAATTTAGGTCCAGAAAGTGAAGCAATACACATCCTCAGTAAATATGTTATTCTAGATGCTGTTTGATGTAGAGATTACTCTCAGGACTAGATTGCGAGCTAAAATCCAACCAGTGAGCCTGGATCATGCTAGTATTAGTCAGTCATGATAGAACTTTTCTTGACAAGTTAATTAGCACCATAGCTAACTTACAGTAAGCAAGCTAGTTATCAATGTAGTTCATTTACAGTAGGCAAGCTAGTTAGCTATTTTACAGTAAGAAAGCTAGTTAGCAACGTAGCTAACTTACAGTAAGCCAGCTAGTTAGCACAGTAGCTAACTTACGGTAAGCAAGCTAGTTAGAGGTTATTAACGTGGCAATAAATTGACCTTTGCTGATTCAAAAGACCTTCCCTATTTGTACCATTGACTACATTTACCTTAAGATGACCATTATACATCTTGGAATATTGTCATACTCACAAAAACATTGGAATATTAGTGTGCATGTAAACATAGTTTGATGCCTTGGTTATCAAACCATGCCTCTAGTGGAGCCAAGTCAAATGTTAACGGCTCACTATCTGAAATAGCTTCTTCTGTTTTGCCCAAGCAGTTACTGATACAGATTTTAAAATATCATGGTACTTTAGCTTAGTTTTTCGGTTATCAAATTGAAATGGTAGGCTTCCTCCACCTTTAGAATAAAATAGTAAACCGTGCTCATCCACTCAGATTGGATGCAACCAATTAAATAATCTTTAGCGCTGTCAACATAACAGAAACTCACTCGGCAAATTGCCAGAGAACTAAGCTCTTTGCTGTAGGGTGACCAGACGTCCCCGTTTTCCGGGGACAGTCCCCGTTTGTATGGGCCTGTCCCCGGTTGAAACTGTCCCCGGAAATGTCCCCGTTTTTTACACATAGCAAGGTGAAATAAAACGTTTCATGTCAGTAAACACTGGGTAAACAGACTGTGGTCAAGCCAGCCCCCACTTCGGAAAACACAGTCAAGCCAGCCCGCACATTGTATTGCGGTGCGCGAATATCCTATGCATTACGGTAGAGGCCTGTAAAAACTGCCTTCAAAATAAAAGCGCAAAAAACACACCAAACATATTCATATATACTGGAGCTTAAGTTAAGAAATATGTACTATATAATGTGATCAATAATAATTTAAAACAAACTACGTATAGCTACCACATTATAACTGAGTGAATGTAAAATGTATACAGTTATGAAGACATATATCTGACATTTCCACTGGGTGACTCATTTCAATTGATGTTGACACCATCTCACAACACTCCTAAAATAACATTACTTCTGAAACACAATTTAAAATGTATGCTGTTTAAAATCTCAAATTAGATCTATATTGTCCATCTATATTTAGATTATTATTTAATGGAAACTGTTCATAATCAACGAGTCATTCAAAGTCAATCAAATACTTATTTCACTTCAGGGTGATAGGAGACCCCATCTAGTCAATCAAGAGAAAATCAGGACAATCTGATGTAAAATTTCAAAATAAAATACTTTTGAAATCTCATATATGGGCTATCGTCCTTCTGTTTTTATACAAGAATAAATAAAAAACTGTCAAATTATCAAATACTTATTTCACTCTGATAGCAGGACACCCCATCTAATCACTCAGAGAGAATCAGGACAATCTGATGTACAGTTTCAAAATAAAAGACCTTTGAAGTCTCATATATGATCTATTGTCCTTCTGTTTGTATCCAACAGTTCAAATGTTCGAATTACATCAAACCAGAATTGTCCCCCTTTTTTCTTTAACAGTGAAGACAATTGGATATGTTAATGCATATTGACCGCAAAACTCAAAATGTCCCCGGTTTTAATTTTGAAAATCTGGTCACCTTACTTTACTGTAGCCACTGAAAACAAACTGGGGTAATTAAATAGTATCTTACTCAGATTTAAGACTCGCAAAAGATAGAAAAAGTTATGTATGAATGATTGAAGATTGATGTACACACAATGAAAATACTAAGATGCACTGTGGCTCTTAAATCAAGCAATCAGACTCATGCAGGTTTCTCATCATATATCTATAGTATTAATAGTATAATCTGAGCTGTAACACTGCACAAGGGAGAAGATGTTATGAAATGATTCTTTGGTTTACTCAAAAAATGTGAGTAACTCTACAGCAACCATCCAAACACAACTTTATGTAAGATTATTCCCAACAGGCTTTGTTTGTAACAGGAAGCTCTTTTTCCACTCTAGCAACAAACACACTGAACAATCATCAACAACATAACACTTTTTTATAGAAAATATATATACATCTAATAAATAAGGGATAACCCCATCGGACGGTAGCGAACGGTTGTTTTTCACATGCTTTTTGTCCATCAGTCCTTAGTGAAATACGTCCGTGTGTTGGAAAAGGAGACGCTGGTTTAATGTGGAGGAGAATGGATTTCTGCGATCATCAATATTCATCCTCCAGCTGAGCGTCCAATTAACCTGCGGAGGCAATCAATTAGACGGACTGCCGCAGAGTGACGGTGACACAGGAGGCAATTCTGAAGTCATTCCTACAGTCTTGATCAAACCAGACACACTGACAGAGTAGAACAACTGTTTTCCCCTCAATGTATGTGAAGGTTCAACTGAGGATACGTGTATTTCTTGCTCAGCAGGGTCGTATAGCCAGGATTTAAAGAAAAAACTCAGGTCAATAATAAATGTTTTGGTCAGATACCAAGATAATGTCATATTGTTCCAGAAAACTAGATATTTATACTCAAATAATCTAGTTCCTGGTTATATAAAAGTCTCAATTTAATGAAGACTTTTCTTTAAAGCAAGTTAAAAGTATTATTAATGGGAATGACAATGGTAGATATGGACCTGCTGCTCAGGAAGTAAAGACAAGTATTACTCAATCGTGGAAAGGCTTTGTGAGTAGAGTCCTTTGAAAGGGAATCATATTGGGAATATGAGCATGTCGAAAAAGCAGAATTGTTTTCTCAGGTTGAACCCTCAGTCATACAACAGCTCACCATGTGACATAGAGAGCAACAAGCATGGAAATCTGTTGTCCAAGCAGAGCGGCCAACTGCAGATGTGCAGTTGGCCTGTACAGCTGCATATTCTGGGCATATGGCACATATTACTGAGTCACTGTATGCTTTAGGTCAGACTGTCAGAGCAAATTTGGAAGTCATTGTATGTGCATTTACTGAAAATCAAAACATGGCTTTGAACTGCCGAGCCTGAACAATTCATTGAGAGTGGCAAATGCAAAATATATAGCATATTTTCATGTTTCCTGTTGTAATTACACTACAGTTCAAATCTATTTCCCTCTGATCAAAGAGACAAAGACCCTCCATGTATGAAACATCAAATCTGCCTGGGATTGGATATCCTAATCATTCTTCATGTGGAGGATTTTACCTCCAGTAGTCTGTCAACATTTTCTTTCTTTTCTTTCATCCCTTTATGGTGAGTAGTGTGTAACCTTTGATGCACACAGATGTCCTTTCATTGCACACATAATGATATAATTACACTACATGGGGGTTTAGTTCTGTTTCTCACTGCTTAAAGACATGAAGACCCTCCGTGTATGAAATATCAAACCTGCCTAGGATGGAATGGATATCCAGAACATTCTTCATGTGGAGGATTTTACCTCCAGGAGTCTGTTAAACTTTTCAAAGTAAATCCACATTGTGCATCGTTTCGTCTCCCATGATGCCAACAGACGTCCTCGGTCATTGCATAAATATCCAAGGAGGACTAAAAGGAAACTGTAACATTGGTCCTTTTTTGCAAGGGGGTTCCCAGGTGGCCCCAGAGCCAGGAACCCCGCATGCATTTCGCTTCCTCTGCACCTGTGATGGTGCACCAATATCCTCCACAAGTCACGCGACGTTTGGAGAGCTGCGCACCGTCTTCTGACCGTGAATCTGACCGGGCATTTGCACCACCAGCAGCTGCTGTTTCTGCCGGGTGGACTTCACGGCAAGGATCGCCTGCCGGTTCTTATACTGCACCATCTGAAGGGTGATCTGCGGCATCCAGCCCTCGTCCTGCGGGCACCTGAAGTCGATCTCCTTCCCCTCCACCATGACCACGGTGAAGTAAACGTACTTGCCTTTACGCTCCACGCAATCCACGGTTTTCATGTTGGCAAAGTGCAGCTCTTTCACTTTCCCTGTGTCTCCTCCACCTGGACCTCCATGCTCGTGCTGTTTGGGCTCGTGCTGTTTGGGTGGCAGCAGCAGCACCCCCTCCTCGGTCAGGACGCACCGCTTTTTCTTCCAGAGCTGCAGCAAGCCGTCGCTCCTCTTCTCCAGCAGACCCTGCTTCAACACCACCTTCATGCCGTTTTCCAGCATCTTTCTCCCGGAAACTGAAGGCTCCCTCCTCCCGGTTAGAGGATAAATGGATGAATGGATGTTTAACCCAGAGCTGCTGCTGAGGCTGCGGTGCTGCTGTTGTGGGGGTCTGTCTTTGTGTGTGTGTGTGTGTGTGTGTGTGTGTGTGTGTGTGTGTGTGTGTGTGTGTGTGTGTGTGTGTGTGTGTGTGTGTGTGTGTGTGTGTGCGTGTGCGTGTGTGTGTGGTGGTTTGAGGTGGGAGGGTCTGCTGGAGGTGCACCGCCCCCCTCAGACACAACCAGTCCTATCATTTTTTTGAAAATGTGCATACAGATACAAATAATATATTGATATAAGTGACCGTTTTTTCATCCCAGGTTTTTGTAAAGCACTTTGTAACCTTCATACACGTGCTATACAAATACAGCGATTATAAAAAGGCACTAATTCCCAATACACATAGAACCCCTTATAGCCTGATGGAAATGAGCTATAATCTGGCATAATTCATATCTTCTCTCTTCTGAGATTAATGTATTTGTATGCATGGTCCTTGTTGAAATAAATACATAATAACAGAGCCCATAAGAAACATTGAAGTATTACAAATAAATAAGTTATTCAAGATTTGCAAAATGTTGCTGTTCCCATTTGGATAAAGTGCATATTTTAAATTGAAGATTTTAAAAGGCGTGAATATTGAAATCCACACATCTTTAAGACTTTGATAAAGTGCTATATAATGAACAGGCTGCAGCCACACATGCGCAAGGGCCCTCTGATTGGAAAAGTAACTTAAATGTCTTTGAAGAAAAAAAATACAGCCCATAAGAAACATTAACGAAGTAATACAAATGAGCACATTGGGTGTATGTGGCTCACACTATTACATTTAGCCACAACTCACCAAAATAAAAGACTTTCACAATGATTTTCTATTTTCTTTTAGGAGGAGAGGCAAATTGGGATGGATTAGAAAACATTACCTGCATCTGTACATTGAAGAGGTACAATGGCGCCCTCTTCTGTCATATTTGTCTTCCATTTCTGAGACATCGTCTTCTATGTCTGGTTCAATCTCCTCTTCATCTGGTTCAAAACATTTGTCCAGAGCCTCTGACAGATAATCGCCTCCTCTGTCGCCTACTCATTGTGTCAATGAGTCAAATGTGAGCAAGGCACACATATAACTGCATGAGAGACAGTAATGGAGGGGCATTTACTGGGAGAAAGTGAGAGGTTGTTCCTTTCTCGAGGGGCACAGAGCTTGCACCTGTGAGAAGGTGATACATCATACAGCGCGAGAAAATGAGAGGTTCCCGTAACTGAGAGGAAGGTGTGGGGGGACATAAGTACAAGAAGTGTGTTTTTGTTTTATTTTTACCCGAAACGCAAGTGAAGGGTAAAGACCTCTACATTACATGTCACTTGTTCGACGCTTTTATCCAAAGCGACTTACATACTCAATACTGTGGACAATCCCCACAGGAGCAATTTGGGGTGAAGTGTCTCCGGGACACAACGACAAGCTGACTGCAGTGGGGTTTGAACCCGTGACCCGAACACCAACGCTCTAACCACTGCGCCACACGCCTCTAAAAAATAATATCAATAACAAATCGATGAACTAGTCTAGTTCATCGATTTGTTTATACTAGTAGTCTAGTTACTAGACAACAGTATAAACCGTTAGTTTTATTGCATTTGAATAACGGGAAATATTCAGTGCACATTACCCAACATGACTGCCTTTGCATTAACACAAATAAAATGGTAGGGCAGTAGACCAATGGAAACCAATGGACTCGTTAATTTTGCCCCAGATACAATTTAATACCAGACCTTTTTTAGACCTTGAATATCAAAAAAGACTTTAAGGATCGGCAGAGACCCTGATATTATTTACACCACCAAGTTTAATTTGTAGAAATATATTGGAAAAAGAAAGACGTTGACTATTGTGAAATCTCGGTTTTGGTCCCAAGTGATTCCAAGACATCAAACACATGAACACAAAGAAAGTCATCAAACCACATGTCCATGTTTAACCAATTTATTAATGAACATACACGTACAGTTATTGAGTACATTAGTATTTTTGTAGCATAGCATTTTGCCTTGACAACAGCTGCTCAGAAGGACCCTACACAAACCCTGTCCAATCAACATGATCTGAATACTCCCTGCAGAAGGAGAAGTACCCTGGCTCTCCACAACTTCAACTAAAAAAGGCATTATTAAAGAAAGATGAAGGGGTCGATGGGGGGGTGGGCAGGCTACGGTTTATTCTCCCCCTCCTGGATGTTTTTAAGTATTGCTCTGACATGCTTCCCCGTGGCTTTCTGGGTTAACAGAGGAAGGAGTTTAGGGAGGGAGGGTTGGTCGAAACAATTCCCCTTTTTCTTTCACAGTGATAAAGACCTCAGGGGCTGAGCTGAGGTCCGATTTAAGTCACCTGACTAGTCACCAATTAGTGAAATGAGGTATAAAATAAAAGGGGGCGTGAACCTGGTTTACACTTTTTCATAATCTGTGCTACATGTGTCCAAATCTGGTCCTAGAGCCTAATCCTCCACCGGTAAGAAAAGGCAAGGCAATGCACTTTTAAAAACCCAGATAGCACAAGTCTCCACACTTTACTAAATGCTGCTTACAAGGATGATCTCACAGCTAACCACCGATAGGACGCCACACAATAGAAAAGACAACGCCACTGCTAGCCTAAGAACTCTGGAATGTTATAGAGACTCGACCACTGACGACAAAAAGGGGCGAAACACTTCCGTTTTTTGTTCAATTTGAGATTAAGTCCGTCAAGTTTGTGGAGAAGCGTACTGGAATGTGTCGAGAGCGGGAAAAGTAGATCCAATGCTCAGTGAAGTGGAATAAACTGGAATGACACCTCCGTCCTCCCCCATGAAAACAAAATGAAATGCTACAGTGCTTTTACATGTGCTTGAGCGGCTAAAGGTTAAAAATGTTCACTTGGGACGACCAGAGCTGACCAACCAGGAGCTTTGATCGGAGAAAAGGGGCGGGATGAAGGGAATAAGTTGGCAATGCAGTCTAAACCACAGCTGTTGTCTAAGAGCAAATACAACAAAAGACTTCACAAGAACCCAAACTAGTTTTAGCAGTGAAGAGACGACTCATGCTTACTTTGAGGGACTTTTTTTCATCCTGTATTATAGCTATTGTACAGAGAAAAGAGAAGGAAATAACAGGTCTAGTAAAATACTATGTATATCGAGCCTCTCAGCTCCCAGTATATTACCGTACGTTTTGTAACAAAAATCTTGAAACCTTTGTTCTTCTTCAAATTCTCTACCAAGAAAAATACAAAACATTATAAGGCGGTAAGTAACTATTTTTTTTTCGTGTTTTAAATGTTTATTTTTTTTTAATGTTCTTTTTTTTAAGATTTGAGAAGCAGTTGATCCTCAATCAGCCGGGTTTCACTGCTGCTTGCACTCAGCTGGGGGGACTGCATCCTTCTGAGGGAGAGCAGAGGTGGGTGTTAAGACGTGGAAGAAAAACACTCAGACACACACACACACTCACTGCATTCCAAAACAACTGAAAATCAAACAGCAAAGCCAAGTAAACACAGTTCCTCACCTCCCGGATATTTAGCACACACGCAGATATGAACGTGGGGAATATGACGGAGATATTTTTGATTGAATTGTCCTGAAGAATCTGCCGTTGAAAATAGGCCATTTATTGCATAACTCTACTACGGCTGTAATCCGCAGCGAACCGCTTCAACACGAGTATTTCGGTTTATTCACCGCATTCTTTTTGTTATTCTACAGTATTGTTGTTTTATAGTCATTTGTTAATGTAACCCAATTTGTGTTCTTTGAAATTGAAAAGGATATCGCGTTGTGTTTGTTACTTTCGTTGCAGTTGTATATGTCTGAAGAGTAATTTGGCTTGGCTTCCTATTTTGAAGGAGAGTTAGCGCTGTTGACAGGAAGTTGTTGTTGCTATGGAAACAACGTGACGGAGATTAATGGCGAAAAAGTTATATCTACATATAAAGACGGAGAAAGTAAACTATAACGTTTATGGTTAAGTGTTAGCACCCCCCGAAGAGGCACAAGCTCTTACGTTGATATTGGAGATTTTAATAAATTCAATTTGTCAAAAAAATTAAACGGGGGGGAAAAAAACGAATATCCGAATAACGAAATTGAAACCCGAATAGTACTCCAACGAACGAATATTCGACTTAATTTGATTGCAATGACGACCAGATCAATGTCAGCTTATTTGTTGGATAAAAACCCGTTTTAATAAAAGGTATTTCTCTAATATAAAGTGGATTCGATGTACATTTTAAATACATATAAGGGAATTTAATTCAGTCCTGTGTTTATTGACCTATTGGAATGGTGTTACTCGGCATTTAGGAGGTGGTAGTCCTCCATTGGCATTATACCAGCATCAAAGCAAGTCTATAGAGAACACAAAGCACGAGAGGATCTAAAGCATGGAACCAATAGGCGCTTTCACACTGGAGTACTTTTCTTGTTTAGTTCCGATAGTTCCTGGAATTTTGCGTTCACACCAAAAAGAGAACTTAGTTCAATGAGAACTTTTACCCCTTTTCAGTCCCTGCTAGAGAGGTGGTGCTATACTGGGGAGAAAGAAGTACCAATTTCTGATTGGCTGGGCGGATTGCAAACCACGCCCCGTAAAACTCTGAAAAGCTTTGTGAAGCCGCCATTGTATTTGCTGGCATTAGCATTATTAGCATTAGCCCCGCGCACCAACGGAGAGAGAATAACTTAAGGCAACACAAAATAAAACATGGGAGTGGTGGAGATGAGGAGGTGTCGGCGTTCAGGCGATTTACTCTGAAGGCTTCAGTAGAAGCTGCTGGGAGTCCCAGCAGCTTCTACTGAAGCCAGTCCCCAACTCCGGGGACTTCCGGCCGGAGACTCCGGGCGGCAGTATACGCCGTGAAGTGGTTTGCGGCCTGCCAGTAAACCCAAAGCAGAAGAAGAAGAAGTGACGTCAGCGGCTTCATTTGCCTAATCCTCCCTCAGGGACTTATTCCGGTGTGAACGCGATCTGTACTTAGTTCCATGGGGGAACTAAGTACTTGGTGTGAAAGCGGCCCTTGATGCTAAAATGTGTATTTAAAAAACAAACAGAATTCATGATAGACGAAAGTCCCCTCCTGACAGAAACTCAAAACGTTGTGTAAGTTCAACATGGTGGAGAAATAAAGACGAAAGGGGAGGGCTGGACTGGCTTCAACATACAGAAACAATACAGGTGCAAATGCAGACGTCACTATGGGGTTAAAGAGAAACAAAAACCAACAGCAAACCGGTGGGTTAGTAATTAGGGAGGGGTGCAGCACGGCAAAAGAGGAAGGGGTGCAGAGAGATGAATGGAGGATGGAGAAACGGAAGGAAAACTAAAAAGGTGTTTGAGAGGGAAAGGGGTGATGGTAGTAAGCTGACAATTCACAAGCTGTACCTACCAGGAGAGGGTTATTTTTCTACTGTCATCACTTAAACCTAGTGAGGAAAAATTTAAAGAATAGCTGACAAAGGATGCCAAAGTGACCGGAGGTGAAGCAACATCAATGAATAGGAGAAACACAAAAAGCCAAAAAACCAGCAGAATACAGAATGTCAAAGACGCCTTTTTTGGATTTGAAAGGAAGCAGAAGTCATGCTTGTTGTATCGTGAAGTACACTGCAGGAAGTGTGCTTTTAATATATTATGCATCTGGACATTTTGCACTTTTTATTTGTTATTATGTGCAATGACTTGTTGCAACAAACAACCGAATTGGGATTTATAAAGTTAATTTTATCTTGTTTTAACCCTTAGATGCCCGAGTGACTGGACCCTACACTCTTCCATAAGTGGGTCAAAAAGGACCCGTAATAGAATAAAGTGTTATTATGCTATTTTTGTTAAGAAAAATCACTTTTATTATATTTTGGTTCACACTAGAAATATTTAATTTTTCAGAATTTATTTTGTAACATTTTGAAACATATCGATGCAAAGATATCGCTATTCTGAGACCCTCACAGTATTCCAGTCTCTTTTCTCATCTCCTCTGTCTACTCATAGCCCACCCCCCATCAATCCATGCCGGCTGATCAAGTTTGATAGTCCTATACCCCCCCCCCCTAACCTTCCCTTATATTGTAAAGCGGTTTTGAGTCCTTGAAAAGCCCTATACAAATATAATGTATTATTATTATTATACTGACAGGTATCAGATCTTGCTGTGTAAAATAATCTTCCTGAGAGGTGTCACTTGTGATGTCGTCTGTGTCCTACAGTGAATGTATTCCTGACAGCCACAGGTGATAAGAATCAAAGGTTCCCATAGAAAATGCATGCGGGTCATTTTTGACCCACTTATGGAAGCTTGGGGTAGAAATACAAAAACTACAATTTCTTAAAATTTAAATTTAAAATTTGAACGGCATGATATCCAAAACATGTTTGAGGAATAGCTGGAATATGAAATGATAAAAAAAAATGTAATTACAAAGATACTTCAAGAAAAAACCACCTCACCGGGTCAAGAAAGACTTATGCATCTAAGGGTTAATACAGTTTAGCTTGTATAACTTTTTCTGCTGTCTGTACAATGTTTTTTATTTAATTCACAGCTGCTTTACCTCCACCAGGAAGGCAGTGAAGCAGAAACTAGTACAAGAGGAAGAGGACTTTGTATTTTTTTGTAAATCTCAGTGAAATGACGAGAAACCTCTGCAGTTTGTCATTAAAGTGCTTTCTTTCAAAACTACTTCCTAAAGCTACATTTTCTCCAAGACAAAGAAAGCTCTGGAATTGAGGCTCAAAGTGAGTTTTGTATAAGTGTCCTCCTCCTACTTCTCTTCAATGCATATAATACTGGATCTGTGTGTTGCAAAAGGTTAATGTTTTAGTAGCAACATGCAACAGCAAGACCTCACTGATTCTAAAAATACGGTTCAGGTCAAGAACAATGTAAGCAAACCAGAAGCTGGTGCACGATGAGATGCATTTGACAGAATGTATTCTGTATGTTGAGCAGCTGTTCTCGACCTGCAGCTCAGGCGTAATGCTTAACCTCTCACTGTGACATTAAAGTTCCCTCAGTGTGTGGAGAGAGATCAATGGCCGACAGTGAGAGGCGCTTTACTTTTTGGGAAAGAGCCTCCTGAGCCAGAAAAGTTGAGAAGAGCTGAGCACGGTCTTTCTCCTGACACCAGAGATCTTTAGAAAAGGGTGTGAGTGTGGTCTCACCTTGGGATCATAGTCGGGGTCGTTCTCCTCGTCTGCCTCCTCCTCTCCTTCCTGCACACACAGCAAAGTAAAAAAACGTCAGACTCCTCCATGTCTTCAACTCTAAAAGGATGCAGAGCTTAAATGTTATGTTCAATTATTTGTGTACAGTAAAAGGACAATGTGCAATGTGCAACCACTAGAGGTCTCAGTCAAAAAATATGAAAACACTAAGTCTGTTTGATGGGAGTCGGCTTCTTCCTGATTCTGTCAATGTTCAGTTTTTGATGAAAGCAGATCTCCGACTCTCCTTGATGTTTTCTTTGTCTGATAACTAAAGATGCAGAAGCTCCATGACTAAAATTATTCATCCGATTTAAGTACAGAGGTAAAACCACAAAGATCCAAACTGTGTATTGTGACAATGTGGCTTATTACTGATTAAAGTCAGTTTATAAGGAGATACAACATCCTTACAGTTGCGTGTTACCTTGATATCAAATTACACATCTCTTGGGAGTTTAAAATATTTATAGAAAGATTAGGGATGGTTAGTCTTACCTCATCGTCTGCCTCCTCTCCCTCCTCATCATACTGTAAAACAAAAACATGGAAGGAAAAAAACCATTAAAATTGCTTAATATTTCTACCCCAAATTCAGTAAAAAATGATCCTGATACTTTAAGTTTATTCCACTTTAAAACGACCAAGGTATCATGTATTGGAAGAGTTTATAATTCTCTTTACTATAAAGCCAAAAAACTATGAAACAATGCTATTTTTTACTAGCAGTCTGTCGCTAAGGAGAGCAGGCTGTCTGTCGCTAAGGAGAGCAGGCTGTCTGTCGCTAAGGAGAGCAGGCTGTCTGTCGCTAAGGAGAGCAGGCTGTCTGTCGCTAAGGAGAGGCAGGGCTGTCTGTCGCTAAGGAGAGCAGGCTGTCTGTCGCTAAGGAGAGCGGCTGTGTCGCTAAGGAGGAGCAGGCTGTCTGTCGCTAAGGAGAGCAGGCTGTCTGTCGCTAAGGAGAGCAGGCTGTCTGTCGCTAAGGAGAGCAGGCTGTCTGTCGCTAAGGGGAGCAGGCTGTCTGTCGCTAAGGAGAGCAGGCTGTCTGTCGCTAAGGAGAGCAGGCTGTCTGTCGCTAAGGAGAGCAGGCTGTCTGTCGCTAAGGAGAGCAGGCTGTCTGTCGCTAAGGAGAGCAGGCCTGTCTGTCGCTAAGGAGAGCAGGCTGTCTGTCGCTAAGGAGAGCAGGCTGTCTGTCGCTAAGGAGAGCAGGCTGTCTGTCGCTAAGGAGAGCAGGCTGTCTGTCGCTAAGGAGAGCAGGCTGTCTGTCGCTAAGGAGAGCAGGCTGTCTGTCGCTAAGGAGAGCAGGCTGTCTGGTCGCTAAGGAGAGCAGGCTGTCTGGTCGCTAAGGAGAGCAGGCTGTCTGGTCGCTAAGGAGAGCAGGCTGTCTGTCGCTAAGGAGAGCAGGCTGTCTGTCCGCTAAGGAGAGCAGGCTGTCTGCCGCTAAGGAGAGCAGGCTGTCTGGTCGCTAAGGAGAGCAGGCTGTCTGGTCGCTAAGGAGAGCAGGCTGTCTGGTCGCTAAGGAGAGCAGGCTGTCTGGTCGCTAAGGAGAGCAGGCTGTCTGCCGCTAAGGAGAGCAGGCTGTCTGCCGCTAAGGAGAGCAGGCTGTCTGCCGCTAAGGAGAGCAGGCTGTCTGGTCGCTAAGGAGAGCAGGCTGTCTGGTCGCTAAGGAGAGCAGGCTGTCTGGTCGCTAAGGAGCGCAAACTGTCGCTCTGTCGCTAAGGAGCGCAAACTGTCGCTCTGTCGCTAAGGAGCGCAAACTGTCGCTCTGTCGCTAAGGAGCGCAAACTGTCGCTCTGTCGCTAAGGAGCGCAAACTGTCGCTCTGTCGCTAAGGAGAGCAGGCTGTCTGCCGCTAAGGAGAGCAGGCTGTCTGGTCGCTAAGGAGAGCAGGCTGTCTGGTCGCTAAGGAGAGCAGGCTGTCTGCCGCTAAGGAGAGCAGGCTGTCTGCCGCTAAGGAGAGCAGGCTGTCTGCCGCTAAGGAGAGCAGGCTGTCTGCCGCTAAGGAGAGCAGGCTGTCTGCCGCTAAGGAGAGCAGGCTGTCTGTCGCTAAGGAGAGCAGGCTGTCTGTCGCTAAGGAGAGCAGGCTGTCTGGTCGCTAAGGAGAGCAGGCTGTCTGGTCGCTAAGGAGAGCAGGCTGTCTGTCGCTAAGGAGAGCAGGCTGTCTGCCGCTAAGGAGAGCAGGCTGTCTGTCGCTAAGGAGAGCAGGCTGTCTGGTCGCTAAGGAGAGCAGGCTGTCTGCCGCTAAGGAGAGCAGGCTGTCTGCCGCTAAGGAGAGCAGGCTGTCTGGTCGCTAAGGAGAGCAGGCTGTCTGGTCGCTAAGGAGAGCAGGCTGTCTGGTCGCTAAGGAGCGCAAACTGTCTGCCGCTAAGGAGAGCAGGCTGTCTGCCGCTAAGGAGAGCAGGCTGTCTGCCGCTAAGGAGAGCAGGCTGTCTGGTCGCTAAGGAGAGCAGGCTGTCTGCCGCTAAGGAGAGCAGGCTGTCTGCCGCTAAGGAGAGCAGGCTGTCTGCCGCTAAGGAGAGCAGGCTGTCTGCCGCTAAGGAGAGCAGGCTGTCTGGTCGCTAAGGAGAGCAGGCTGTCTGCCGCTAAGGAGCGCAGGCTGTCTGTCGCTAAGGAGAGCAGGCTGTCTGGTCGCTAAGGAGAGCAGGCTGTCTGCCGCTAAGGAGAGCAGGCTGTCTGCCGCTAAGGAGAGCAGGCTGTCTGGTCGCTAAGGAGAGCAGACTGTCTGCCGCTAAGGAGAGCAGGCTGTCTGTCGCTAAGGAGAGCAGGCTGTCTGCCGCTAAGGAGAGCAGGCTGTCTGCCGCTAAGGAGAGCAGGCTGTCTGTCGCTAAGGAGAGCAGGCTGTCTGCCGCTAAGGAGAGCAGGCTGTCTGGTCGCTAAGGAGAGCTGTCACCAAGGAGTCAAGGAGTGCAGACTGTCGATCTGTTGCTAAGGAGAGCAGACTGTCGCTAAGGAGAGCAGACTGTCGCTCTGTCGCTAAGGAGAGCAGACTGTCGCTCTGTCGCTAAGGAGAGCAGACTGTCGCTAAGGAGGATCAAGGGACTATTTGCCTTCATATCAATCCGCAGAAAGAAGTGCGGCCAATTTAACGACAGCTAAGGACAACAAACATCAGTTTTCTCCATCGTAATAACCGAGATAATGCCCAGCGAGGAGCTCAATAACTAAATTAAAGAACGCCACCACTCACATCATCATCATCATCCTCGATGGCCTCTCCTGTGAAGTAGAGCACCGCCCGGGGAACGATACGCTCACGGATGAAGTGGCCAATCTCAAAGTCTGCAGCAAGGACCGCCTCCGAGTCCTCATCCTAAAGAAGAGGAAAAAGTATTTTTTTATATATATTTTGTATTGACAGCAAAACAGTGTTTTTTCAAGTTTGTCGGTCCGAAATGCCCTTTTTATGTCCCAACTGTGGATCAATAAAGTACTTCTTATCTTATTGTCAGATATGCAGATTTGTTATGTTCAGGTTTAGAAAATAACATATTGAATTCTCTTTTAAATGGCAAAGGTTAATATGGAAAAAAGTTAGTTATTTAGCTGAACAGCCAATATATACTTTACCCTGGAAATCTCAACTAGAGTGGAGGGTCTTTATTGCTTTTGCTGTGTTAGTCAAGATACATAGAGTCTATAAGGAATGTAAAAGTGTAGATTAAGTACAGCGACTTACCAACTCCCCACTTTCTGGAACTGTAAAGAAACAGAGAATCAAAGTCAGTTAACCAAACATTTTCTAAAATACTGAAACATTTGAAAATGTGATATATTGTCAATATACTGTATTATTGCCTGAAACAAAAAACAAATACTGAATCATCTCTGAACGCTTTAAGATAATTAATATTTCTGCCTTACCCTCTGGGGGGGTGAAGAAGTTGAAGAAGGAGTCGTTGGGCACCGTTTTGGTGACCGTCCTCACCGTGCCGCGGCCCTTGTGCTTCTGCTTCTTCTTGATTGTTTTCAACGTAACATTTTTGCCCTTTGTCCAGTCAATCGTGCAACTGTGGTGAAAACACGAGAACGATCAGCATCCAACAGAGTAAAGTACACACATCCTTTACACAAGTAGAAGTACAGATACTTTAAAAATACTCTGGTGAAAGTAGAATTACTGATTAAACTTCTTTACTCAAGTCAAAGTAAAGAAGTTTGGGCTTTGAAATGTACTTAAGTAAAAAGTACCCATAACTAGCATCTGTTTTAAAGAGTACATGACCTCCCTTTATATTAATAGAACAATAGGCGCTTTCACACCAAGTACTTTGCCGTACTTCGCTCATCAGAACTCTTTAGTTCTGATGAAGATGAGCAGATCGCGTTCACACCGGAATAAGTCCCTGAGGGAGGATTAGGCAAATGAAGCCGCTGACGTCACTTCTTCTTCTTCTTCTGCTTTGGGTTTACTGGCAGGCCGCAAACCACTTCACGGCGTATACTTCCGCCCGAAGTCCCCGGAGTTGGGGACTGGCTTCAGTAGAAGCTGCTGGGACTCCCAGCAGCTTCTACTGAAGCCTTCTGAGTAAATCGCCAAAACGCTGACACCTCCTCATCTCCACCGCTCCCATGTTTTCTTTTGTGTTGCCATAAGTTAGTCCCTCTGCGTTGGTGCGCGGGGCTAATGCTAATAATGCGAGCAAATAAAATGGCGGCTTCACAAAACTTTTTGGGAGTTTTACGGGGCGTGGTTTGCAATCTGCCCAGCCAATCAGAAATGGGAACTTTTTTCTCCCATGAAAGTACCTGCTCTCTAGCAGGGACTGAAAGGGGGTGGAAAGGTTCTCATGAACTAAGTTTTAGTTCCGGATTTATTTGGTGTTGGCAACATTTCCGAACTATATATCGGAACTGTACTGGGAAAAATACTGCGGTGTGAAAGCGCCTAATAATGTCATTGTTAGCTAATGAATGTTTCCATGCTGAACAACGGCAACGTTTCCATTGGTCCCTCTTCTTTAGAGAAGACTAGGAAATGATGGATACACGGATCGTGTTCAAATCAATTGGCACGCAATGACTCTAAAGAATAATGATCACGCCACCAAACACACATTCAGACTAAAGGAACCAGCTGTTTGGAAAATGAGAGAAGTAGAAAGTACAGGTATTTGAGTTCAACATGTAAGAAGTAGAAAGTACAGGTATTTGAGTTCAACATGTAAGAAGTAGAAAGTACAGGTATTTGGGTTCAACATGTAAGAAGTAGAAAGTACAGGTATTTGAGTTCAACATGTAAGAAGTAGAAAGTACAGGTATTTGGGTTCAACATGAGAGAAGTAGAAAGTACAGGTATTTGAGTTCAACATGTAAGAAGTAGAAAGTACAGGTATTTGTGTTCAACATGTAAGAAGTAGAAAGTACAGGTATTTGAGTTCAACATGAGAGAAGTAGAAAGTACAGGTATTTGAGTTCAACATGTAAGAAGTAGAAAGTACAGGTATTTGAGTTCAACATGTAAGAAGTAGAAAGTACAGGTATTTGAGTTCAACATGTAAGAAGTAGAAAGTACAGGTATTTGGGTTCAACATGTGAGAAGTAGAAAGTACAGGTATTTGAGTTCAACATGTAAGAAGTAGAAAGTACAGGTATTTGTGTTCAACATGTAAGAAGTAGAAAGTACAGGTATTTGTGTTCAACATGTATGAAGTAGAAAGTACAGGTATTTGTGTTCAACATGTAAGAAGTAGAAAGTACAGGTATTTGGGTTCAACATGTAAGAAGTAGAAAGTACAGGTATTTGGGTTCAACATGTGAGAAGTCAAAGTAAAAAGTCGTCAGTAAAATAAGTAGTGGAGTAAAGTACTGATACCAGAAATATGTCCTCAAGTAAAGTAACAAAGTATTTGTACTCAACTACTTCCCACCTCTGGTATCTAAATAACATCTTGGGAGTGTAGTTGGAGAGGTTTTCGATATCAACTTGAATTATTATGGATTCTCACCCTGTGCAGCACATGATCTCCGGACCGTCGAAGGAGAACGGGTCGTTCTCGTCGGGCTCTGACCTCATCTTGTAGGTTTTCGTCAACAAAGTGTTTGTGAAGAAGTCGTTGGGCTCAAAGAGGAACTCTAACGTGAAGCTCTGGGGAAGAACAGAGAGATCACATTTACAGCCTGTTCAAAGATAACACACTGGTTTACAAGTTTGTTTTGAACACTTCTTACTCACCATGGGCTGTTCTAGGACTGAGAACTTTACTTTAATATCTTGTAAATGTTTAAGGATGGGTTCGTCGTGTTCCTGAGGAGAGAAAGAACAGCATTCACAAGAGCAACCAGTACTAGTTTCTGATTTAGGAATATATACAGATACAATGTTTTCTCATAAGGCCTGTGTCCATAGAGCGCATTTGTCTGAACACCAGGGTCTTTTTTTTCAATTCATAGCAATGAGAACAGAGCGCATACACACTCATGCGGACACTAGGGCTGTACCTGAATATTCCTTTGTTGGAGTACTAACTCCAATATCAACGTAAGAGCTTGTGCCTCTTCGAGGGGTGCTAACACTTAACCATAAATGTTATCGTTTACTTTCTCCGTCTTTATATGTAGATATTACTTTTTCTCCATTAATCTCTGTCACGTTGTTTCCATAGCAACAACAACTTCCTGTCAACAGCGCCAACTCTCCTTCAAAATAAAATCATGTCCATACAAAATAGGAAGCCAAGCCAAATGACACTTAAGACACACAACTGAAACAAACGTAACACAATGCAATATCCTTTTCAATTTCAAAGAACACAAATTGGGTAACATTAACAAATAACTATAAAACAACAATACTGTAGAATAACAAAATGAATGCCGTGAATAAACCGAAATACATGAATCTGCCTTTCTGCCAGAAAAAGACACTTTACAGACACACTTTCCACACTAGTGGGCGCTATGCTCAACACAACTACAGGTGGAAGTAAACACTGCGTCTCATTTTGAGCCGTCAGAACGAACGTACCTGCAGCATGTCGCTGAGCAGATCCACGTTTTTGAAAACCGTCGACCAGAACTCTGGGATTCCTTTGGGGTCTTCCTTCTCCTCGTCCTTCTTCTCCTCCTCCAGCTTGGCCTTCTCCTTCATCTCGTCCTAGTGGAGGAAGAAAGGTTCTCTTAAATATGATGCTTGATCAGGCTTCCCCCCCCCCCCCACACACATATCATGCCATGTAAAACATTCTCACCGCCTACAACCCACACATCGGTTAAAGAAAAACGAGCCCAGAGAAAGCAAGTCAACGCTGATATCTGGAATCAGTCATTGTGATAAAACCAGTTTTCATGCCGTTTGAAATAAAGACTCACTTCTTAACAACAATTCAAGAGACAATTGCTTAAGATTTAACAAGATTGATTTAAGACATGGCAGCTCTTTTTTTGATGAATTAATTGAATACTTTTAAAGGGTCAGCAGGAGCCCCTTTATTTTGGGAAGGGAGGTTTTTTTCTCATCTGGATGCATCATATGTTACATGCATGATATGAAGGTGTTCAGACACACAGGGCGCATGCAGGCGTCACCTGTACCTGCTTACTTACTGTCAGCTCTTCCTCCTCATCTGCTTTCCATTCACACTCTTCATCAGTGGGCTCATAGGCTGCTTTCACTATGTCGCTTCTCTGAAGAAAGGGAGAGAAACAAAACAATAAGCATGAGGCATCATCCAGACAACAACAAGCACATAGAACATTGTTTCAGCCTTTCACAAAACCTATATAGCTGCAATACAAGTCACAATAAAGGGAGTGTATGACTGACGTACTTTGTCGAAGAGGGGCTGGTAGAGGGCCGCGTACTTTCTCTCCAGTTCATGTACTTCTTCGTAGAACTTGGCCTCAATGTGGGCACATTTGACCTGCAGATTCTTCAGGGCGTTCACACGTCTCTTTACGACCTTTGGTAAACTGTGGCAAGACAAAATGGACAAGTATGAGGACTATCCTGTGCAAAGAAAGTGCTCTACAATGCTCAAAATGTTAGAAAGGGGGAGGTAAAGGGGACGACATGCATAAAAAGGAACGTCCACCCCAGAAAATAGCACGCCAGTAATAACCAGCATGTTTTAATCGAGTTAAATGACATCCTTTGCATGATGGGAAGCTGGTAGAAGGCCAATTAAAATCACCTTATTCTCATTCAGTGATTTTGAGATTGATCTCCAGGCTGAGTGTTTCCGCAGTATTGGAGATTATAAACTCCGGCACTATCCTCACAAGGGGATGCGTTTGGGATGTTGTAGCGGTTGAGTTTGTTGTTGACTGCCTAATACTTGACAAGATGATCAAAGATGATGGTTTTGCTGATAAAAGCAGCAGTGGGTGGCACAGACGAGACTAGGGCTGCCGACACGTGTATTTTGGTGTATTCACGGCATTCATTTTGTTATTTTATAAATATTAACCCAATTTGTGTTCTTTGAAATTGAAAAGGATATCGCATTGTGTTTGTTACTTTCGTTGCAGTTGTATATGTCTTAAGTGTAATTTGGCTTGGCTTCCTATTTATGGATATGCTTTTATTTTGAAGGAGAGGTAGCGCTGTTGACAGGAAGTTGTTGTTGCTATGGAAACAATGTGACAGAGATTAACGGAGAAAGGTAATATCTACATATAAAGACGGGGAAAGTCAACGATAACATTTATGGCTAAGTGTTAGCACCCCCCGAACAAGCTCTTACGTTGATATTGGAGATTTCAATAAATTCAATTCCAAACAAAACGAATAACGAAATTGAAACCCGAATGGTACTCCAACGAACGAATATTCGGGTACAGCCCTACGAGACACCAGACTACATTCACTGCAGCATCCCACACTACCACTGGTTTGTCTCTGCTGCAGCAGCTCTGCCCTAAATGACAAATCACCTCGTATTATATCCATCATATCATTGACCCGCCTGTCAACAGATCCATTAGTTGAGCCAGGGTTGCCCCGCCGGCTCTGATCCTCATTTTAAAACGCATTTCTAAAAATGTTATTCAACCCAATCACTCAGGCAGAGGTTGTGTATAAAACTAGTAAGTGCTATGGACAGTCTGGCACTAATGTACAATTTTCACAGACTTTGAAGTGACTTTTATTTTGTATATATTGATTGCTGTGCTTTTCATTTATGTCTTAATGTGTGCATATATATATATATATATATATATATATATATATATATTTGGGATTGTGGGAAACAGTATTTCGATTTCTCCGTCTGTACATACGAACTGAAAGATTGACAATAAAAGTTGACTTTCGAGAGAAGGCTGTAGAGACAGAAAGGAGAGAAGAGTGTGTGTTAGGAGTTATTTATGATTTTACTAAACTGCCAATCTGCCGCTACCACCTGCACGTCATCTCTAATTAACTCAAGATAGCTTGGCAGTGTGTGGCAGGTAAAGAGAGCGAGGAAGCATCTGTGTGTGTGTGAATTCTGCAGTAATGTAGACGTGCAGCTCCAAAAGACCACGTGAGGCTGCAGATGTGATAAGATGGCGTCTCACCTCTCCATGTAGCCTGACGGCGATCCGCTGAGCCCGTCGAGCCTCTCCTGCAGCGCGGCCAGGATCTGTGGGTTCTGCATCATCTGCACAGTCAGCTGGCGAGCTAACAACACAAACATACGGTGTCAAAAGGGAGACCTGAAGGCAGTTGCATCTTTCAGGAGCATTTTTTTTTTTCTGTGGTTGGATTCAATTAAAGGGGCCCTATTCTGCTGATGTTCAGGTGTATATCAGTATGTAGTGTCTCTACTTTAAAGAGTCCTCTCCTGCTGATGTTCAGGGTGTATATCAGTATGTAGTGTCTCTACTTTAAAGAGTCCTCTCCTGCTGATGTTCAGGTGTATATCAGTATGTAGTGTCTCTACTTTAAAGAGTCCTCTCCTGCTGATGTTCAGGTGTATATCAGTATGTAGTGTCTCTACTTTAAATAGTCCTCTCCTGCTGATGTTCAGGTGTATATCAGTATGTAGTGTCTCTACTTTAAAGAGTCCTCTCCTGCTGATGTTCAGGTGTATATCAGTATGTAGTGTCTCTACTTTAAAGAGTCCTCTCCTGCTGATGTTCAGGTGTATATCAGTATGTAACTGTTCTACTTTAAAGAGTCCTCTCCTGCTGATGTTCAGGTGTATATCAGTATGGTGTCTCTACTTTAAAGAGTCCTCTCCTGCTGATGTTCAGGTGTATATCAGTATGGTGTCTCTACTTTAAAGAGTCCTCTCCTGCTGATGTTCAGGTGTATATCAGTATGTAGTGTCTCTACTTTAAAGAGTCCTCTCCTGCTGATGTTCAGGTGTATATCAGTATGTAGTGTCTCTACTTTAAAGAGTCCTCTCCTGCTGATGTTCAGGTGTATATCAGTATGTAGTGTCTCTACTTTAAAGAGTCCTCTCCTGCTGATGTTCAGGTGTATATCAGTATGTAGTGTCTCTACTTTAAAGAGTCCTCCTGCTAGATGTTCGGTGTATATCAGTATGGTGTCTCTACTTAAAGAGTCCTCTCCTGCTGATGTTCAGGTGTATATCAGTATGTAGTGTCTCTACTTTAAAAGAGTCCTCTCCTGCTGATGTTCAGGTGTATATCAGTATGTAGTGTCTCTACTTTAAAGAGTCCTCTCCTGCTGATGTTCAGGTGTATGTCAGTATGTAGTGTCTCTACTTTAAAGAGTCCTCTCCTGCTGATGTTCAGGTGTATATCAGTTTTTTTACCTCTACTTTAAAGAGTCCTCTCCTGCTGATGTTCAGGTGTATATCAGTATGTAGTGTCTCTACTTTAAAGAGTCCTCTCCTGCTGATGTTCAGGTGTATATCAGTATGTAGTGTCTCTACTTTAAAGAGTTCTCCCCCTGCTGATGTTCAGGTGTATATCAGTACGTAGTGTCTCTACTTTAAAGAGTCCTCTCCTGCTGATGTTCAGGTGTATATCAGTATGTAGTGTCTCTACTTTAAAGAGTCCTCTCCTGCTGATGTTCAGGTGTATATCAGTATGTAGTGTCTCTACTTTAAAGAGTCCTCTCCTGCTGATGTTCAGGTGTATATCAGTATGTAGTGTCTCTACTTTAAAGAGTCCTCTCCTGCTGATGTTCAGGTGTATATCAGTATGTAGTGTCTCTACTTTAAAGAGTCCTCTCCTGCTGATGTTCAGGTGTATATCAGTATGTAGTGTCTCTACTTTAAAGAGTCCTCTCCTGCTGATGTTCAGGTGTATATCAGTATGTGTCTCTACTTTAAAGAGTCCTCTCCTGCTGATGTTCAGGTGTATATCAGTATGTAGTGTCTCTACTTTAAAGAGTCCTCTCCTGCTGATGTTCAGGTGTATATCAGTATGTAGTGTCTCTACTTTAAAGAGTCCTCTCCTGCTGATGTTCAGGTGTATGTCAGTATGTAGTGTCTCTACTTTAAAGAGTCCTCTCCTGCTGATGTTCAGGTGTATATCAGTACGTAGTGTCTCTACTTTAAAGAGTCCTCTCCTGCTGATGTTCAGGTGTATATCAGTATGTAGTGTCTCTACTTTAAAGAGTCCTCTCCAGCTGATGCTCAGGTGTATATCAGTATGTAGTGTCTCTACTTTAAAGAGTCCTCTCCTGCTGATGTTCAGGTGTATATCAGTACGTAGTGTCTCTACTTTAAAGAGTCCTCTCCTGCTGATGTTCAGGTGTATATCAGTATGTAGTGTCTCTACTTTAAAGAGTCCTCTCCTGCTGATGTTCAGGTGTATATCAGTATGTAGTGTCTCTACTTTAAAGAGTCCTCTCCTGCTGATGTTCAGGTGTATATCAGTATGTAGTCTCTCTACTTTAAAGAGTCCTCTCCTGCTGATGTTCAGGTGTATATCAGTACGTAGTGTCTCTACTTTAAAGAGTCCTCTCCTGCTGATGTTCAGGTGTATATCAGTACGTAGTGTCTCTACTTTAAAGAGTCCTCTCCAGCTGATGCTCAGGTGTATATCAGTATGTAGTGTCTATACTTTAAAGAGTCCTCTCCTGCTGATGTTCAGGTGTATATCAGTACATAGTGTCTCTACTTTAAAGAGTCCTCTCCTGCTGATGTTCAGGTGTATATCAGTATGTAGTGTCTCTACTTTAAAGAGTCCTCTCCAGCTGATGCTCAGGTGTATATCAGTATGTAGTGTCTCTACTTTAAAGAGTCCTCTCCTGCTGATGTTCAGGTGTATATCAGTATGTAGTGTCTCTACTTTAAAGAGTCCTCTCCTGCTGATGTTCAGGTGTATATCAGTATGTAGTGTCTCTACTTTAAAGAGTGCTCTCCTGCTGATGTTCAGGTGTATATCAGTATGTAGTCTCTCTACTTTAAAGAGTCCTCTCCAGCTGATGCTCAGGTGTATATCAGTATGTAGTGTCTCTACTTAAAGAGTCCTCTCCTGCTGATGTTCAGGTGTATATCAGTACATAGTGTCTCTACTTTAAAGAGTCCTCTCCTGCTGATGTTCAGGTGTATATCAGTATGTAGTGTCTCTACTTTAAAGAGTCCTCTCCAGCTGATGTTCAGGTGTATATCAGTATGTAGTGTCTCTACTTAAAGAGTCCTCTCCTGCTGATGTTCAGGTGTATATCAGTATGTAGTGTCTCTACTTTAAAGAGTCCTCTCCTGCTGATGTTCAGGTGTATATCAGTATGTAGTGTCTCTACTTTAAAGAGTCCTCTCCTGCTGATGTTCAGGTGTATATCAGTATGTAGTCTCTCTACTTTAAAGAGTCCTCTCCAGCTGATGCTCAGGTGTATATCAGTATGTAGTGTCTCTACTTTAAAGAGTCCTCTCCTGCTGATGTTCAGGTGTATATCAGTACATAGTGTCTCTACTTTAAAGAGTCCTCTCCTGCTGATGTTCAGGTGTATATCAGTATGTAGTGTCTCTACTTTAAAGAGTCCTCTCCAGCTGATGCTCAGGTGTATATCAGTATGTAGTGTCTCTACTTTAAAGAGTCCTCTCCTGCTGATGTTCAGGTGTATATCAGTATGTAGTGTCTCTACTTTAAAGAGTCCTCTCCTGCTGATGTTCAGGTGTATATCAGTATGTAGTGTCTCTACTTTAAAGAGTGCTCTCCTGCTGATGTTCAGGTGTATATCAGTATGTAGTGTCTCTACTTTAAAGAGTCCTCTCCAGCTGATGTTCAGGTGTATATCAGTATGTAGTGTCTCTACTTTAAAGAGTCCTCTCCAGCTGATGTTCAGGTGTATATCAGTATGTAGTGTCTCTACTTTAAAGAGTGCTCTCCTGCTGATGTTCAGGTGTATATCAGTATGTAGTGTCTCTACTTTAAAGAGTCCTCTCCTGCTGATGTTCAGGTGTATATCAGTATGTAGTGTCTCTACTTTAAAGAGTCTTCTCCTCCTGATGTGCAGGTGTATATCAGTATGTAGTGTCTCTACTTTAAAGAGTCCTCTCCTGCTGATGTTCAGGTGTATATCAGTATGTAGTGTCTCTACTTTAAAGAGTCCTCTCCTACTGATGTTCAGGTGTATATCAGTATGTAGTGTCTCTACTTTAAAGAGTCTTCTCCTCCTGATGTGCAGGTGTATATCAGTATGTAGTGTCTCTACTTTAAAGAGTCCTCTCCTGCTGATGTTCAGGTGTATATCAGTATGTAGTGTCTCTACTTTAAAGAGTCCTCTCCTACTGATGTTCAGGTGTATATCAGTATGTAGTGTCTCTACTTTAAAGAGTCTTCTCCTCCTGATGTTCAGGTGTATATCAGTATGTAGTGTCTCTACTTTAAAGAGTCCTCTCCTGCTGATGTTCAGGTGTATATCAGTATGTAGTGTCTCTACTTTAAAGAGTCCTCTCCTGCTGATGTTCAGGTGTATATCAGTATGTAGTGTCTCTACTTTAAAGAGTCCTCTCCTACTGATGTTCAGGTGTATATCAGTATGTAGTGTCTCTACTTTAAAGAGTCCTCTCCTGCTGATGTTCAGGTGTATATCAGTATGTAAATGTGGGATGTTATCCTTTGCAGATCATTTACATGCACAAAGCCTATATATAAAAAACACACAACAGGAAAGGGAAAACCCCAATTTCTTAATAGGGCCTCTTTAAATTAAAGTAGGGCGGCACGAATCATTGGGCCACACATCGGTATATTTTGGTTTTTAATAATTTACATATCTTATTCGGCTTTCTCAGAGGTTGTTCCTCCTGTGTAAAATAAAGTGAGGTGCGGTGAGAATGCATGTGTGACACTGAGTTATTTATAACCTCCCGTCAGCTTGCAGACCTTATGCAAAGCTTTCCTGAGTGTGGTTGCGTCCACAGATCATTTGTAGTCTGCCAGCATGAGCCTTCTTTCAAGTCTGGCTTTTAAAAAGACTATTCAAACTTGTTATAAATAGACGAGGCCAAACAGCCGTCTAAATCTATCCACAGTGAGCCGACAGGAGGCAATATAAGAGAAGCCCTGTGGATCGTTTATAGAGTATCAAAAGGATGCATGAACAGCCTTAAGATCCCAAAATAAAAACAGATTAGTGTCTGCCATCTCTGAACAGCACAAAATCATTTCATGCTAATCACATTCTCAGTTAAAGTAGCAGCCAGTATGCTTCTTCTTGAACAACTTGTACAGACCATCATTTAAACTATTACTTATGTACTAGGGATGGGAACGATTAATCGAATCTATTCAGGTATTCGATGAGAAAATGTTTTCTTTTTTTTGGGAGGGGTGCCTAAGTTGATTACATATGAGGAAATGGAATAATTCAATGTATACGACAGCGCCATAGCTAAGTGTGTCAGGTCTAAAGGTGTGTTTTGCTCCGCTCACCGGTCCCTCACAGCGGGCAGAGCTGCAGGTTAGGGCTGCTCAATTAATCGTATTTTAATCGCAATTATGGCTTGCAACGATTACGAAAACAACGTAATCGAAATAAAACGACTATTTTTTTTTATTTGAATTATACTTAAAGTTCAGGGTAATCAACTGTTAAAAAAACACTGTTCAACAAAAAATGTATCCAATAAATGGATGTTTTCAAAGTCAATGAATAATCGCAATTACAATTATTTACCCAAATAATCGAGATTATGATTTTTGCCATAATCGAGCAGCCCTACTGCAGGTGCTGATCTCTCTCTCACGTCCGGTTATACTTCACTCGCGTTCATGTCCAAATCCATCAGATCTAGCTAATGATATGGCTGCTGCCCCTCCCTACACGCAGACTCAAACCTCATCTTATGCCCAAATGTGGCGCAAATGCACTCCGCGGTTACCCCGTTGCAAGGCTCCGGCGAGTTGACGAGTGTGCTTCCCCCCCCTCCGTCACACGAGTGGGCAGCCTAAACAATAAGCGCTGCTTGGCAACCGTGTGTGGCGGCAAAGTACAAAGACATTTTGACAGGAGAGATATAGTTTTGCCGGTATTCAGCATATTTTACCGGTCATAGTCCGGTAATTATTTACACTTTAACGGAGAGTCCTACACAACAGACATGGCGTCAAAACCAAGTTATGTTTTAAGCATGAAAGCTGTAGGCCTGTAGCTGTTCAAACTGTGACCACCAGTTCAATACATTTGACAAATTCAACTTGGTTTCTTTAATTATTTGAACATGTATTTATTTATTTAAAAAGATTTGTTTATAGGATATGTACATTTCGGTTAACTGTTTTTTTTGGGGGTCGAATATACATTTGCTTTCAAATTCCCATCCCTAATCTGTACCGTTGCGTTTTTTGCAGTACGACTTACCTTTGCTGTTCTCGTCTTCTCCTGTCTCTTCCTCTTCCACATCTTCAACATCCTCCATATCTGCCGGGTCCATCTCAGGCTGGTCTTTGCTGCAGGGAGACAGAGGTCATTGTTACACAGGTGGCATGGTTAGGGTTCATCTTTCAGTGGATTTGGCCACCTTGCATGCTGTTTTGACGCGTGACCAAGCAATGAACTCTTTATTTATGCTTGGCTTCAATTATCCCAGAAAAAGGTACAACTGAAGCTTCAAAGACTGTTCATCAAACGTGAACGAATGCAACAGCTGCAGGATGTCTTCCTCAAGGTCACTTTAGTCTGTAATCGAGGGGTAGTTGTCATGTCTTTAAGAGGCCGTGCAGGAGAGATCATTAATGTATACGACAGCTGACACAGCGGATACTCACCCTCCTGACAATCTGCACAACAATATTCAAATCAAAGGCCAACTGTGAGAGACTGCGTCCTTTTCTTGATGCAGTGATGTTACGATCTGCTACTCAAATGTTGGGCTCTGAGTTTTGGCGTGGCATCCGAAACAGCCCTCACCTTGATCAAGTGGTGCAGTGATGACATATTTGTACCAACAATTGGAATTGCAAGAGAGCCCCAGCGTCAAAAAGCACGTGATCTTTTCCATGAGATATCGGAAAATTAGATATGTTGAAATCGCACATTAATGATACTTAAAACGTTTAGTTCAGCATTAAAATCTCCACATATTTACCCCATTTTGTGATTTTGGAAGCGTAAATACAATCGCTAAAAGCAAACGCTATGCTATAAAGGAAATACTGCACGGTCACATAACCACTGCTAAGCTAAAGGCGGCTAATGTTGTGCATGATGTTAAGTCTAGACACTAAATTCACCGTATTTCAGTCCTCAAATAGAACATGCATTTAGAAAAGCGTTGACTTTGAGACGAGGGAACCATAAGTGCTAAGTTAAAGTCCTTTCAGTAAGAAAAGTGGATATTGGGCAAAGGTCAATTATAACATTACCACGATGTGACTGATAATTGCTCAAATGACTTCAGGTAAGTTAAATATGGAAAAGATACGATAATATTAAACCCTATTTCATCGTGTTGACCTGGCCCAGTTCGGTGATACCACAGCAGGTGATTTCCTCTCATCTGTCAGAGACGTCATAAGTATTCGGTTGAAAGAGGAGATCGGTGGCGTTGATGTCAAGTGTTTGACACATCGCTGGAGGAAGATGTACTTACTTGTCGATGTCTGCCATTTCAGCTGAGTCTCGAGTGATGCTAAGGAGAGAAGTAATATGTTTAGAAACACTGGATAACATTCATATCCATGTGATTTTTAAATTACATTTCAGGGTCACCGTCATAGCACTAGCAAATAAACGCTGATGCTAATTATAGGATGCTTAAATTATAACGGAGGTGATGTTTAAGTTATCATATCGAGTCCACAGAAGGTCTTTTGTGTAGGTTAGTGCAAAAACACTTACATATTACACAGCTAGCATCCTAATAGACTTCTTTAAAATAAGGTCCGATCTGTTTAATACACATTTTGTTGGTTCACCTTCAATCTTACATCTACTGGTAATCATTAGAAACAGGTCATTAATGGGTCTATTTATAGATTGTTCAGCTCTGTTGCCCAGTCATGATCCTATACCCGCAAACATATTGCTGTATGTGCAATCCCACCAGGAGGAAATGCATAAAACATGGATACCTATGCAGCAGATGAGCTGAACTCAAACCTAGCCAACAGCTGAAGATGGTAATTATTGACATCGTTTTAATAAACGGCAGCTTTGACATTGATATCAGCGATACAGAAACATTAAAAATGCAAGCTGAACCAAAATAAAAAGTCTTCCTGGTGCTTAGACAGTTTAAAAGTTTCTCCAGGAATTTTCCACTTAAGCATGCAATAAATATTTCAGTTCAAACCCTTTTCTAGTCATGCATTAAACGCAGATAATATTATATTAGTTGCGCCTCTTAATCCCCATATTGGGCCATCTTTTGCGTCTCTTGTTGAATGACTGACAGCTGTACATGTTGAAGTGGATTTAAGTTGCTTCTAGGTGAGGGTTAGGCCATCACTTCTTCCGAAGGAATCACAATGTATATATAGTATATTATGTTGTCATTGTATTACAAATTAACTCAAGGCAAGCTGCACTTAAAGTTAAATACGTTTATAAAGACTCACTGTTAAACGCCATGCATAACTACAGAAAATCAGGTCTTTTGAATGTTGAAGTTGACAAACAATGATTATACAAAGCCCCCTGTTTCTGCCGCTACTTGGACTATTCCACATCGCCTTCTAACAGAAACATTAATCAAACTGTTGATCTAATTTAAGAACATTTAATAAGTGTTAATTCATGATTTATAGTATTAAATAGTTGTGATTTCATGAGAGAACTGCCAATTATCAAACCTTTTTTGAAGAGGAAGCTTTTAACTCTTAAACTATCAACTTGGGATAAGAGCACCTGCGGGGTGCTTTTCTCTCATCATTTGCCGTTCAATTTGTTTCTAAAAAACGTTAGTTTCCCTTTTTTGTTTTGATAGTAAGTGTAAATACTTATGTATAGGGGTGTGGGGGAAGCCATGCATATATGTCCTCAGTCGTTAAAAAAATATGCAAATGTCCTGTAACTTCCTTAAAAGATGATATGTATGTCTTTAGATGACATTACATAACTAATCTTCTCTATTATGTGGCCTACATTCAGTGACGATGCTGAACTACAGAGCTGATGTGACAGCTGACAATATGCTCCTTCATGCCAAATTATTGATGTAGAAAGCTTTTGGCTGCAGCACACTTGAATGAAATGTCATGTATCTCTGTTTCAAGGTGGGTTATATTATTGCTTTTTAATTAAGGGCAAGCATGATTGCAGTTTAACAATGTATGAACTGCGAGACCAGGCTCCAGCATTTCAATCAATGTACATGTCGCAAGTTCTCATAATCATCTAAAAAGCTAAGAGGATTACATTCAAGAGACATGTTTAATAGACAAGGATTGAGCTTAAAACATGTCATGTTCAGTTTGCACTGTTACTGCAAGAGAAAAGAGTATTTTAATCATCTCACACGTGTCACAAAAGCCAATAATTACCAACTAGCTACTGGACAATTAATTCAATTGAGATACCTCACTATATTTCAGACAGTACATGTATTTAATACCTTAAGTTCCACCTGGAGTACATTCACAAGCTACCCTGCAGTATACTAATTCATTCAAACTAGCTTTTACTTGTAACAGAGTATTCCTGCACTTAATTGTCAATGTAACTTACAAAAGGATGTTTAAATCCTCTCACACCTGTCACAAAATGCCGACAATTACCAACTAGCCTCTGGGCAATTCTTGTTTTCCTAGAACTGAAATGCATGCGTTACAGACTTTCTTTTTTTTACTTTCTGGCACATGCCTTTCTCTCCTGATCCTGACCAGCGACCACGTGTTGCATACTCAGGTCTAGCAAACTCATCAATGACTACGAAACCTCCCCTTGTGGATGCCTGTCTGTCTGCACAATGGAGCCACATGTGTAAACTTCATTTGGATCAAACCTGTCACGTTTACTGTCCCACGTCAAACAATGAAAGTAGCATTTGGTTCCCACAAAAAACAAGCCGAAACAGGCTAGTAACAAGCTAGTATACAGGCTAACTTTAGCCGGCCTACCCGGTATTGTCAATGCCTCAATGGGCTACTTAAGCTAGCTTGTGCTGCTCGCTTTATACGCACTATTTGGGCTGTTTAAGTGGAAAGAACAGCATCGAAAAACAATGGAACATGGATATAATATAATATCATCCAGTAAGTACTTAGTTTATAAGCATGAAACGGTGCGAATAATGTGTTGAGCTCCCTTAAGACTAGTCTCCATCCCCACCCTGTTATCATCCTGCAAAAAAAATAATTAAGGTCAAGTCCTAAAAGACACAAAACACGTGTCAAAAAATATCGACATTAACGGCCATTAACTGACGTTCTGTCGACTGTTTGAAAGCACTGATTGTCATAGCAACCCAACGGTAACGGTTATGAAATATAGCCGGGTTTTTTTTTTTGTAATCGCATAATGGTGGAGCCTCAATGGCTGCTGTCTGACTTCACTAGAGGAGGGGGGGGAAAGCGGCCTTTCTCTTCCGCAGTTCCGTTAAAGGCAGTAAATGTACCGTGTGAAACCCCGCACACGGTTCGGGGTGTTGTCCCCGGAGCTCGTTACCGGGTAGCGAGTCTCTTACCTTCGCTGTGTGACCGGAGGTGGTGAAGCGGGGCTGCGCAGTGATGAGGTCCCGGTGGAAGAAAGACACTCCGCTCCGATGGCGGTAAAAGGGAGAGAGATCCCGCCGCTTGCGCTCATATATATCCGACGTCATCACGTAAACCGGCAGTCACCGTGGCAACACTGCAAAAGGGGAGGGGCGGAGATGAGGTGCCCCAAAAAGGGGAAAGTATAAGGGATGAGGGACCACCACCATCATCATGATTAAATCCTCCTCTTCATCACCATATTCATTCTTAATTACACCATTTCTTTTGTATATTTAAATTTGGTGTAAATACTTGTCTTTATTTATTTTTTAATGTTAACCGTTTTTTTTACATTTTCTTTTTATTATCATTATATTTCCTTCTCCTTCAACTTATTTACTTATATTGTTAATGTTTGCACCAACATACACCAAATCTAATCCCTTATATGTATAACCGTACCTGGCAATAAGCTTAATTCTGATTCTGATGTTTCCTTGTTTAGCTGATGCTCAAAAAACTCTTAATAAAAGTTATTATTATTTATTTTTATTGTTGCTGTTGAATTACTTACCGCTTGAAATAAACAAGCCCGTTTCCCCGCGGTCAAACTTCTTAAAACGTGTTAATACTGTATGTTTTAGCGGAGTAGCCTATTTAATCTGTTTTTATTGGTTTATGTATAACCTGTGAACAAGTTGACACTGTTTAAAATACACTTAATTGATGGCTTGTGACTTTTTAGTACAACTATTTATATCACATAATTTGTCAACCTTTTTCCCCCGCTTCCACATCATCAATGTCCTAGTCATTTTTAGTATTTAACTACTTCAAACCTCATGTTCATGTCAATTCAAATCAGTTTCTTTGTTTAGCCCAATATCACAAATCAGACAATTTCCTAATGAGGCTTTACAATAATTACAATATACAACACTGGACTACTTTTATTAGTGATTTCCATACATTATAACTAAAACACTTGATCAATTTCTGTCATTAATGAATCCCAGACAGTGCCATGTTTTATCAATTGTATAAATAACCAAATAAAAAGCAGTACATGAAGTGAAGATAATTCTATTTTGTGAAAGTGATTGTATGCATGTGTATTTTATTGCACATGTCGGTTCATCTTTCAAGAAGTGTCACATTTTTTGACAACGTTTTAAATAACAAGTAAGCACCTTCTCTGAACAGAATCCTCTCCTCTGAGTGTGCACTTATGGCGGCAGATCGCTGTCAGCAGGATATCTGATGAGCTTCAAACTGAACATGGATCCTGAGAGCGACAGTATTTCAATTCACTGAAATCAAGCAGAAGTCAGAAAAACAGACACTGATCTGAGACCTGCTGCAGGGATAAGAACCAGGTTCCTAACAATGCAGCTAATTCTAGGCTCAAAATGTCATAGTGGGGTTTGTGTCTGGACCCTTAGCACTGCCACCACCTTCTCCACTGCTTATGAGAACTATTCATCATTTTGAGCAGGGTAAAAGTGAATGAGAAACCTTCAAAACTCATTAAGTCAGTGGGTAACCGAGAATTAGAAAACTGTAAACGATCTTCATTAGAAAACTGTACTAAAATTGGTTGGCAGGTAGTGATTATCACTTAATTTCTAAATGTATTTAAGGGAGAATTACTTATTGCAAACTTTATTTACATTTTTAATTACAGAGTTTTTATTTGAGTAGCAACAGGGTTAACAGGCCAAGTATAGCATTACATGAAATGAAAAGATAAGAAGAGTGGATACCACATTTTGAAGTTGTATTTAGAAATTTAGAAATCAGCTGAAATGCAGAGAACTTTAAGACCAGTGAGTGCAGGAACAATGATGGTCCAAATAAACGTTGGATCCAAGTTTATTGCTACCAAATTGTTTTCCTTTCCTAAAAGCAATTAGTACATAAGAAAAATAAATAATGTCATGAGTTTATCAGTTTGAATAGAAGAAATTAGCTTTGCACTCCCCTAGTCACTTCTAGTAAGTAAGCTAACATTTTAGAGCTACAGCAAACAGTAGGTAAAAAGCTGTTTCTATAGTAGACGTAACATGTGTTGCTAGTCAAGAGCTACACAACATGTCTTGCACTTGCAAAAGTAATAAAAGGAAGCTAATAAAACTTGAAATGTTCAGTCTCTACTAGTTAGTAAGATAACAGCTAATCATGTGTTGCTAGCTAAGATAGGGTGACCAGACGTCCCCGTTTTCCGGGGACAGTCGCCGTTTGTATTGGCCTGTCCCCGGTTGAAACTGTCCCCGGAAATGTCCCCGTTTTTTAATATATGTTAAAAACACATAGCAAGGTGAAATAAAACGTTTCATGTGAGGAAACACTTGGTAAACAGACTGCGGTCAAGCCAGCCCCCACTTCGGAAAAAACACTCAAGCCAGCCCGCACGTTGTATTGCGGTGCGCGAATATGCATTACGGTAGAGGCCTGTAAAAATTGCCTTCAAAATAAAAGCGTTTACTCGGTCAATAACAAATATACCAAAAAAACACACCAAACATATTCATATATACTGGAGCTTAAATTAAGAAATATGTACAATATAATGTGATCAATAAGAATTTAAAACAAACTACGTATAACTACCACATTATAACTGAGTGAATGTAAAATGTAAGTTTGAAGACATCTGACATTTCCACTGGGTGACTAATTTCAATTGATGTTGACACCATCTCACAACACTCCTAAAATAACATTACTTTCTGAAGCACAATTTAAAATGTATGCTGTTTAAAATCTCAAATTAGATCTATTGTCCATCTATATTTTGATTATTATTTAATGGAAACCGTCCATAATCGTGCACTACGCTCTGCATCAGCCAAACGACTCGCTGCACCCTCGCTGCGAGGGGGATCCAAGTTCCCATCAGCAAAAACACGTGGGTTTGCTATCCTGGCTCCAAGATGGTGGAATGAGCTCCCCATTGACATCAGGACAGCAGATAGCTTGCACATCTTCCGGCGCAAACTGAAAACTCATCTCTTTCGACTCCATTTCGAGCGATAGAATTATTAACAAAGCACTTATATACTAATAAAGGACTGGCTTATCTAAAGCCAGTTGAGTAGCACTTGAAATGTTTGGCTCTATGAAACCTGATGTACTTATATGCTTCTGTTTTCTTCAAGGTTGTGTCTTCCTGGTCGAATGTACTTATTGTAAGTCGCTTTGGATAAAAGCGTCAGCTAAATGCAATGTAATGTAATGTAATAATCAAAGGGTCATTCGAATTCAATAAAATACTTATTTCACTTCAATAAAATACTTATTTCACTTCCTTCTGTTTTTGTACAAGAATAAATAAAAAACTGTCAAATTATCAAAGACTTATTTCACTCCAGGGCGATAGCAGGACACCCCATCTAGTCACTCAGAGAGAATCAGGAACATCTGATGTAGAGTTTCAAAATAAAAGACCTTTGAAGTCTCATATATGAGTTTGTATCCAACAGTTCAAATGTTCGAATTACATTGAACCAGAATTGTCCCCCTTTTTTCTTTAACAGTGAAGAAAATTGGATATGTTAAAGATATATTGACAGCAAAACTCAAAATGTCCCCGGTTTTAATTTTGAAAATCTGGTCACCTTAAGCTAAGAGCTACACGACAGGCCTTTTCATTTTTGCTAACCCAAACTCTAGAAAATATCCTCTACTTCTAGTTAAAAAAAGCTGACATTTTACAGCTAAAGCAACTAGGTTACAGTTTCCAAAGACTGACACAGCATCATGTGTTGCTAGCTAAGAGCTACACGAGAGGCCTTGCACCTTTGCTAACCCGAACTTCAGATTCAAACTATTCAATATTCATTTTATTTGCAGACAGATCTGTAAGGACTGCAGATGGAAATGAGCTATTAGCTTAAATCTGGCCAGTCCAGTCTCACCGCATTTGTATGCATGGTCCTTGTTTAAATAAATACATTAATTGTAATTGTAAACCCATACAGCTACAAAGCTAGCATATCTAACCATATAAACAATATGTTGAGCATCATCAATGCAATAAACATCCAGAGAAAACAGCTGACAACACAGAGAGCCTTTGTCCTTGGGGAATCAATCTAAATGTGCAGTGTGGACCGTGTTTGGAAACACACCCTTGCTCATATTAATTAGCCCGGCCTCTAAATGTCATCTGAAATGTCACTGCCCTCCTGGAGCAGATCTGTGTTGTCAGGGCGTCTCAGTCTCACATTGTTCACCGGGAGATTCACAAGAGATATCAAGTTTTAAGTGCATTAATAGTTTCGCTTTGTTTGAGGGGAAATGCACACCGGTTAGTTACTGCCAATGCTTTCAAGTTGATCCCTCTGAATTATTAAGAGACTACGGGGGAGACACACCTTCAAGGAGCCAATTAAGCAACAAATAAATAATAACATGTTGACAGCGTGCACAAATTGTGACACGGCAGTAATGACGAAGTACTTCTAGAAATGAAGAGTTTCTACAGGAACGTCACTGATATTTTGTTTCAAATATTTGTATTGAGAAGAAGCATTCAAGTGAGCAATAGTTCAGACTTCTTTTGGGTGGACATCCTGCTTCTCTTTTTCAACATAGAAGACAAACAGAACAGCCAACAGGAAATAATAAAGAAAAAACATAGCAACACAATACTTAATGACATACATTTAGTCATAGTGGGAAAGAACATAACAATTAATAATTCAAAAATAAAAACGTCACTGACATTTTAAGTGTTTTTGTTGACTGAATCCTGACATAAACATGATTATTATGTAGTTTTTAGAAATGGCATTTGACGTGTAGATTACTCCTTATGGTTGAAAACATAATAATAATAATACATTTCATTTGTATAGCACGCTTTAAGAACAACGTCATCTCAAGGCAGAGATGGAGTACTCGAGTCCTGGACTCAGACTCGAGTCGGACTCGAGTGCCGATTTTCGGGACTCGTGACTCGACTCGGACTCGCACACTGATTGACGCGACTCGGACTTGGACTCGTGAATTTTTCCCCCCACGATGACTCGGACTCGACTTGTACATTGACGCTCTGACTTGGACTCGGATTTGAGCAAGTTTTCTCTGGAGTCTGATGTCCTCTATCCTGGCGTGTG